TGTAATTATTACAGGTTATACACACCATTAAGCAAGACCGCCATTGAAAGTTGACCTTTATAGGTCAGACCATGCCCGAATCACGAATATGGAACTTATTTGTAGCTACGGTGCCATTTATCGCTAATATGGAGTGACATGTTTCTCCCAATGAATGCGTTTGCTACACACAAGTAAGGGATGTGTAGCGCTACCCAGGCGCCAAATTACGTCGGCGCCGAAAATAAGTGTGAAAATCATGATCGGGGCCATCGATTACCCCTGTAAACAATCTTTCGGCCAAAAAATTTTTTTCGACTTTTTTGGGTGTGTGCGTTGGGTTGTGCCCGACAGTCTTTCTATAGAAGTCTACAGTGCCTCGCCATAGGGACCCCCTATTTTATTAATATCCAAAGATAAAAGCAGAGCGGTGAGAGCCAGAGAGACGAGGGGGGGGGCATCAGTAGAGATAACGGCAGAGAGTGGAGGTTTACAAGGAGACATCTCCCATCGAGGGCGAGTTCGGCATACGGTCTCTGATGAAGACCTCACAGAACTCCTACTCATCCCATCAGGTCCCGCCAGATCAGGAAGGTGAAAAGGAGTTCAGAAGCGCCGCCCGCCCCATTCTACTTGTAGTCCGCCACATTTGATCCGTGGGAGTCAATCTTAAGCGACGGTCCGCTCCTCTGACCCACACCTGTGAATTCTCGAAAAGCAACGTGAGGTTGTCTTTTCATCAGTCAAGGTTGTTGGAATGAGTTCTTACTTGAGAAATTCGCTGCTGCACACCAATCGGAAAGATCCCCAAAGGCGTTGATCTTGTCCTGTGATCGCTGGTGGTCCTGAAAATGTGTCAAGTGAAAACAAAGACATTCAGCTTCATTTGGGGAGCGATTGAAGCTATACAGTGGCTTGTGTGGCTAGTCAATAAATAAGTCAGTGTACCTATCCTCCCAGAAAAGTCAGCACTATTCAACTATTACTACCCCAGTTTTGCGAAAACAGGCCGGATCTTGATCGACTTTTTCTACGGGGGCAGATTTGGCTGAAATTTGGGTTAAGGGGTAATTCGACCTCGTGAACACGAATATCACATCCACTTGGCCTGAAAGTGCCTGGCGCCCGCGCCAGAGATTTAGGGCATTTTGGCGCCGGCGCCTGTGGCGCGGGCGCCGAGCGGTTTCAGGCCGAGCGGATGTGATATTCGTGTTCAGGAGGTCGAACTACCCCTGGGCACAAGTTTTCAGCGGATTTGGTGATCTAGGGTACTTTGGCGCCGGCGCCTGTGGCGCGGGCGCCAGGCAGTTTCGGGAGGAGCGGATGTGATATTCGTGTTCAGGAGGTCGAATTACCCCTAGAACCCAACTTTCAGCCAAATCTGCCCCGTAAAAAAGTCGATCAAGATCCGGCCCGTTTTCGGAAATCTGGGGTAGTAATAGTTGAGCAGTGCCGAAAAGTCTGCTACCTTTTAAGTGACCTCGGCGAATGGAAGGCTGGCCGCCCTGGTGAAGGGTCGATCGAGAGTTGGAGGTGGACTTGCTTGTACACCTCGTTCCTTGTCACTGCACCACCTTGGCCAGAACCGGTTAGGCAAAGAACGAACGTAGTTATTCGAGCAATCCATTTGAGCGATCGAATGCTCCTCCGCTAGTATGGACCGCCGCAAAAAGCTGAGAGAAGCTCCCGGATGTCACTGAATTATCAGTGCCAGCCGTCCAATGGTTAGCGATGGGAAGCGGATGGTTGCGGTCGGATGAATTAAATATCGCGCAATCCATTCGAGTCGCGAAGTGTGAACGTTGCCCTATCCAAATACGCATCAGTGGTTGTGAACTACATGGTTTTCCCTGCAGGAAGGTGCTGCAATGACCTTGATGTTGAGTTTTCTGAGCTTAGCGTTCGACGTTTGCATGTGGAGCAGCCGAAAAAACAGCTGCGGGCAGGGAGAAGCCTGGAAAAAAGGCGTTGCGAATCGCGCGAAATTAGCGTGTGCTGCTCTAGCAGTAACATGGTTCAAACCGATTCAAGGTGAAAGTACCCCAAGATGTTGCGTCAACTATACATCCCCGCGATGGGAGTGGTCATGGAACATTTTCCTTATTTGAGCGTTTTCGGCGTTGGTTGCGGTTTGTAGGGTCATATATATGCCATTTGAGGTAATTGTAATTATGTATTTGTGCCTCAAACGGGAACGTCGCCCAAAAACGCATCCTACGCCATATTCGAATGAAGTACGCGGTCAGTCCTTGGATATGGTGCTTAGCTATGAAGTACTAGCCATCTCGTTGTCGTAAGTTGGATCATCTGACGCGCACTCCCAAAACCGTAGCCAGATTGAGCTTTAATCGATTCAAGGATCATTGATCACCATATTCCCAAGCATAGGTGTCACGATTCACTTACCAGGAAAGAATTCCTGGTTGAAGTGACCATTTCAAATGACATTTGTACCGACCGACGTGTCTTTCGAAGATGCTTTTCAAATCTGCCTATGAATTCCCTGAGCACTCTTTGGTGCCTCGAGCACTTACTCGTTTCTGTTTACTAAAAAATGGCCTCTGCATTTTCTCAATCCAGGTCCCGTTGGTGTTCAATGTTGTTTCTGTGGGAATGGGACCGTTCTAGGAGGCGACCGCTTTGTTCGTTATGTTGTGTGGCCAACTGACGCCAGGTGGCTCGGCCGCCAAAAATGGATGTCATTTTTGTGATCAGGACTGTCATTTACAGCAGAGCATGCACTTTAGTGAGGATGCTCGGTTACCCAAGAGAATTCTAATCGGGAATAGTACCATAAGGGGTGTTACTGCCCTTGGTCACCTTAGTGTTTCAAAGTTTGGTCAAGAATTCAGATCCCTCCCCCATCCCACTTCTGTGGGTCGCTATGGCTACTTTGATCCCTAAAACACGATTATTACACCCGTTGCCAAGAACGCTTGCGTCTTGCGCTTCGGACTTCTGCAAACCCTCATCCTCTCAGCTCCGCAGTCGCTTTCATAAGCGACAACGCCGGAATGCACGCGATATTTCTATGAGAAATGACTTGAGTGTCACCTCATAGCAGAAGGCAACTTCTAGTTTCAGATTCAAGCTAATTAAGGTTTTTTGAGCCTTACTCGTACGTTGAGAACGGGTGTGACCAAGTAAAAAAAGTACATAAGTTCACTCAAGAACTGGATAGCAGGCTAGAGGGTGACTACCGCTCAAATGCGTATCATCCGATATTTCCAATGGCCAAACATTCTTTCTTGATTGAAACTATACCTGTCCCTTGTCTGCCGGTTCATTTTCGAATTCAACGGTTGCCCGTCGGCAATTCACTTCACGAGATTTTTCATCGATTGGTACATATACGTTGCTGTGTTGAGCTTGAAGTGGGAACACATATCTGAAGTAGGAATGATATCATGATATCATCTGATAATTTCGTCGTTTCTAAGTTTTCTTTCATTGCCGTCAGCCGCGCAAGGGTAGTAAATAATGAAGGGCAAAGTTTTCAGCCAGTTTCTATATTATCTGTCAGTTCCGGCTGCCAGTATTATCCACCTAATCAGCTCCTTGTATCTTGCATAACAATGCGAAGCGAATGGTTGGATTCAAGAGGCATGGGGAATGAGTCCACACGCTGCTGCGTTTTCTTCCAGAAGACTCCGGTACAAACTAGCACCTATGGATAGAAAAGCTGCAGCGGCTAGGTTTTTTAGGTAGAGGAGGCGTGGTTATTAGGCCCTTACTAGTAAAGTAGAGGGGTTTGCCTCGTTAACCTCCTCTACCTTACTGGTGAGCTGATACATTTTTTCAAGGATTTTCGTCTGAACGTAGAGCAAATGACTAATAAGAGTATCCTATTTCTAAGAGTATCCAACTTTTCTCTGGAACCTCGAAAAAATTGCACATTTCTGTCTGAAAAATTACCCCATCTTCCTTAGATCTGCCAACCACTTTTGTACGAGTAGCGCATCATCAGCACCCCAGAACTCTTGTTCACTGAAAGAAGTCAAGAAACATTCTCCATATTAAAGAAAGTTGTGCTTTGATATCAACAGAACAACTGAGATGTGTCTTTGTGGCGAGATTCTAGTGAACATACAGTCTTGTTCGGTGCGGATGCAGGGGCGTGTCAGGACTAGGGTTAGCAAGGCGGCAACCCGTTCTCCACCCGCTGTGGAAGCTGGCGAGCGACCCTGATTGGTTGGAAACGGACTGGTGCCCGCGCAGCCTCAGACTCCTTCCCTTCCCTCCTGACGTGCCAAAGCTTCCGCGCCGGATAAGACGGTATACCTGATATTTGAGGCGAACAATCCGCAAGTTAATGACTTCATTTGCGGTCAGCTCTGAGGCGCGAAAATATCTCGTCGTGCTCTCCCCGTATCGTGGGGTTTAAGAAGGTAGGAAGTGTACAAATGATTCTCATGCGAGAGGAGCCGGAAAATGGATTGTCGTGGGACTTGTCTTACCACGTCAATGGCGTTTCCTAACTCCGCCCGCCTGGGAAATCCGTGATAATCCGGGTGAGGGCGCGGTCGTGTGAACGTATCTAAAGGGCCCGCTCCGCAACTGCAAACCGTGTTTTGATGCGGGGCCTGCAAGCATGGAAATTTGTAGGTCTCGCTTCAGTTCTTGTACAACTCCTCGCAAATTCTATGCGCAGCCTCAACGTGGCGTGGCGGTGACCGGTTTTCGTCCGTACTGATGCGGAGGGCGCTATGTTGCAACATGTACATACGTGGTCAATTCATATGCCGAAAACAATAAAGGAAATGGGCTACATTCTTCTGAAAGATGAGGGAAGCGTCGACAGATCGCGGTTTCCTTGAGTTTAGGAAAATGAGGCGACATCGCGTGAGATTCCGCTTTTCGATGCGAGGAGAGAAAGTCGCAAAGTTCATAAAGCGAAATCCCAAAACCGTCATCAATTAGGATCACATCACATAACTCGCTGGGCTTTAGGAAGGTTCCGTTACTGATCACATCGTCGAGGGATACGAACGGCTTGTCGAACATCTTCACTACTGTGCCAAGAAGTCGGAGAATGACAAGATTGCCAAGGAGCGTTCATCACTGAAACTCTCGAGCTGGTCTCCCAGCGTGGAGCCGCATGAGCCGCAGGCAACTACCAGACGAAGTCTGAGCTTGCGAAGCTATGCAGAGAAGCGATGAACGAAAACTTCAAGGAGAGAATAGCAGTAGTGCTAGTAGAGGCAGCAGAGGCTGGGAATAGCATACGCAACGCCTGCTGCAACTTGGTCAACTGTAAGCCCGAAATAACGGCCTGCGACGTCCGGACGAACGGCCAGTGCATCCAGAACGGCAACGGAGGAGGTCGTCCACAACTTCCACTCTGATCTCTTTGATTGCCACATCCACCGGCCACCGAAACGCTCGGAACAGGATAACCCACTTTTTTTCAGTTCTCCCTTCCAAAGTTCCGCACTTCATTTTTTTGGTGGAGAATCGTATGACATCCGGTCCCAACAGGATCAGATCTGAGCGTCTGAGAAAACTCCCGCCGCTTCTCATCACCTGACTCTTCACGCGCTACCTGTCGGGATGAAAGGCACATACTCCAGGGAAACTAGGAGAACTGTGCTGCTGTACAAGAAGGGAGATCCTGTACGACATTGGCAATTATCGCCCAATCTGCCTGCTGTCTGTAGTCTACAAACTCTTCACACGAGTCATCCTGAACAGACTTTGGAAGACAAAAATAAGCCAGCCACAGTGTTTCGGGAGATCCAACACGAGCAATCACAATCGACGCCGGTTGAAGAGGCCTAATCTACAGTAAGTCAACAGTTACGGGTACTCATGTTGTTGTCCTTCCACCTTCATCGACGGTGAAAAAAACCCTTTGAGTCCAGTATGAATAGAAGCTTTTGATTGAGAGACCTGAAACTAAAGGCGCTCGCTAATTCCCAAAAAACATCAGGGTACTTCCTGACCACTCCAACGACTTCACGACTAGGATCTCACCATTCTACAAGGAGATCATCATACTCGTGAAGAAAGGAGTCCGACAGAGCCAACCGTTTTGCCCGAACTATTCAGCGCATCTTCTAGTATGTCATTCAACCGGCATGAGAAGACATAGTAGTGACCATTGAGACGGCAGCTACATCATCAGCTTTGATGACGACGTCGTTTTGATAGCACCAAACATCGTGCAAGCGGACTGGATGCTGGCTGATTCCGAGTGCGCGTGTGGAGAAGTAGGTTGCAGCTGAATCTGACGAAGACGAGCGGCTTGGAGAGTGTGTCCATGTTAGCAAGTTTGATCACATCTGTCGAGAGGTCGCCGATTTGTTTGGCTAGCAGCCTTCCCAGTTCTGCGAGAAGGGGATAGCTGACTTGTTTGGTAGGTGGAGCACTGTAGTGGCTAACTATGCTATTCCATTTTTGATAAATTCCTGTTCGAGTTGAGCTGAAAACCATCAAAGAAAAGAATAGCAGCAATAACAAGTTCTTCTTTCCACCCAAATATTGCTGTACCGTGACAAG